TGCCCCGGAATTTGCTGGGCTTGCCGCCGTTCGTCTCCGGCGGCTGGAAGTGGATTTCCATGGCGGAGGAAGAAGAATTGGGGGTGGAGGGTTTCTTTGATTGAATAATGGATTGGGAAATTGGGATTTTATATGAAATGAAGATTTCTTCTTCTTCTTCTACTTTTCCCCCTTTTTGATGAATAATTATACTGTTTTCTTGTGTTTGGTTTCATGTTCTTGGTCTTTTAATTTTATTATTTTTTTAAAAACAATAGGAATAAAAAGAATTGGGAAATTTATGTTTGCTTGTTTCCAAGAATACCCTTTCAAAATATGACTTTGAATTTTGAAAGATGAATTTGTAAGAAAGGGTAAAATATCAAGATGATTGATTTTGACCGTATATATACATATCTGTATATATATTTAAGTATAATTGATTTTACAAAATTACCATTTAAGAGATACCTTGAAACGTAATTTTATGTGATTTTATGTTTTCCTAAAATCAATTTTTTCATTTGCCAAACTTTATAAATAGAACAATTCACCTTTAAACTTTTTTAAAAATCAATTTTTAATTTGAGCAAAATAAGAAAAGTGATTTTAACAATGACAAAAGTGATTTTAWKWTGACCATGTCAGAATCACTCACAAACGCACCTTAAAAATACTATAACTATAAATATTTTGGTAAATTGTGTTCCATAGTAAATCATTTGAATGTTTAGTTTCACACTCTTAGAATGTTTATAGTGATTTTTGAATAAAAATGTTTTTTTCTATAAGCACTCCCGAAAAAATTACTAATTTAAAGTGTGTTTGGTTTATCTTCCTAAATGATTTTAGATGATCAAGTGTTTTTTATAAAATATAAAGTATTTGATAATAAATTAAAATATTTTTTGAAAATTGAATTGGTTAAAAAACACTTTTACAAGATCGATTATCCAAAAAAAATTTATTTTAAAGTAATCGTCACCATTATAGTTTAAACACTCCAAAGTTGATTATTAAAAAAAGTGATCAAATTAGAAGTTACGTCAAACTTACCCTCGGGTCAAAGACAACGATTTATCCTAAAAACATTTAAGTCCTTTTGACTTTTTTTTAAAATCGCTTTTATATTACCTCCAAATAAAATTACTTTGAAAAATAATTATTCATTTTAATAGAATCTCATATATATATATATATATATTTTACAATCATTAATAGAATTACTAATGCAAGTAGTTTGATTCGGCTCCTTTCTTAATGGAAATTAAAGTCAAACCAATGTATTGATATAGAGAAAATCAAAGGACAATAGAAAAAGAAGAACAAACATTTCATTTCATTTTATTTCTTTTTTAAAAAGATTAATAGATAGAATATGTATTCTTCGAAGATAATTCAACTAACAAAAACCAATTATTTTGAAGCATCCATCCGGTTAAATGCAATGATGCAACAAATTAAAAACTAGACTAAAATGATAACGTACTCACAAAAAAAAAAAGACACAAAATAAACTGATAATTAATATATAAAAAAAATATTGGATTTAAATATTATTTTCGTCCTTGTATTTTCGATTTTAGTTCATTTTAGTTACTGTATTTTCAAAATGTTCGGGATTCGAACTCACAACCTCTCATTACCATTAAACTATGTTCGCTTTGTCTCAAAAAGGAGATTCTAATTCACAACCTTATTTTTGTTTCTATACTTCAATTTTTGTTTTGAAATGTTCGTTTTAGTCTCCATATTTTTTTTAAAATGATCATTTTTATCATTTCATTTATATCTCTTCTATCTATTAAAATTTTAGCATGACATTTTAATAATTAGAATTCTTGAAACGTAGCCATAAGTTTGTATTGAATGGTTTCTGTTGTGTATAAAATTGGTATTAAAATTTTGTAAATATATATAAATGAATCAATGCATACTTAGTAAATGAACTAAAATGACAAAAATTAATAGTACAAATATTAAAATAGGCATTTTGAAATTACAAAATAATAATCAACCAAATTGATAAAAAGAGTATTTAAATCAAAATATTATAATAAATGCTATTTTGTATCC